CGTATTGATACAGTCCACATAGGTCAGGCACCTGACGAAGTGCAGGAGGGAGAGGAGTGAAGAATATATCTGGAGAAACAAATAGAAAATAACCAGCACAATAAGCATTGAGTAGGTAAAAAAAAAAAAAAGAAAAAGAAAAAAGTAACCACAAGGCTGATAGCATAGAGCGTGCAGTAGGGAGCAGCATGTACTAAGGCCCTGTGGCAGGAACAAGCATGAAACCTATGTCAGGGCAGAGGGATTTGGTGAAAGGCTACCTCAGATAGAAGAAGTGACCACGTTCAGATCATAGTCAAGGAGGGGTGGAGATTGTGAAGGGAGGCAGAGTGTAAAGTGCCAGGTCCATGAAGTGACATGCAGGCCAAGAAACAAGAAAGAGGCCAGAATGCAGAAGACAGGGAAGGTTGAGTGAAATTGTTTGGGGTATACATCTTGAATAAGGTGAGGGCCCCCTAAGCTCACTTTCTTTGGGCACTGGGCTTGTGATGCAAGTGCACTCCCAGAATCCAAAGGGCACACAGAAGTCATAGGCCTTTTCCAGAGGTATTTCAAGATGATGCTGGAATGAGGGGATTGACATTTTGTGTCATCCCATTCTGTCATGCAGGCAACAAATACTTAATGGTTTTTATGCTTCCCACTGTGCTAGCTAGGTCCTGAGAGATAAATGATGTGACTTCTGTCTTTGGGAAGCTCAGAGGCTAAGCTGGAAAGATAACCATATAAAGAAATCCTTGCCATATCCTGTGATAAATGCTACTAGAGAGCTATATACAGGATACCAGAGAGCCCAGCCTACACTGACTGAGGAAGTCAAAAGAAATGCATTCCTGAAATGTGGGATGTGAATTAGGTCTGGATAAATGAGATTCCTAGGTAGAAAACTGAGAGAAGGGAATGTTACCCAAGGGAAATATATTGATCAGTATATATACCAACTAAGACAATCCCTAAATTTCAGTGTTTTACCGTAATAAAATTTACTTCTGTCAATCTGTGAAATTTTAAAAAACAACAAAAAAGTAAAAATAGTTTTAAAATAACAAAAAGTATACAATTTTAAAAAAAAAGTATTTCTTGTTCCTGTCATGTCTAATTTGTTCTGAGTGGCTCTTCCCAAAGTGGTGACCTAGAGATTCAAGGTGTTTTCACCCTGAACAGGTGATCTCCAATATCACTGTGTAAGGAGCAAAGAGTGTATGGAAATTATGCTGGGCCCTTAACCACCTGGGCCCAAAAGAGATACTCATCACTTGCACTCACATCCTATTGGTCAGAAGTAGTCACATGACTGCACGCAGAGGCAAGGGGGTGGGGAAATGTAGTCCTGGCCAGGCAGCTGTTTCCCAACAACTACACCCTGAGGAAGCATCAACATTTGGTGGGATGATCACTGCTACTGCCACAGGGAATTGTGCGTAAGTGAGCACAGAATGAAGCAAGGCATGTAATTTCCAGCCTGGGGAGTATGGGGAAAAGGGAGAGGGATATGGAAGAAGAGACCAGAAACGCTAGTCACTGTTGGATTGCTCAGGACTAAGGACAACAGACTAAAGAGACCTCCTTCTCCTCCTCCAGCTGTGTAGAACTATCAGAGGTGTGATGATCAGATTTGTATCTCTTTATGGTCCACCCTTTTCTCTCATCTTTTGCTACACAAAAAGAGGCCATCATGGCAGAGAGAGCTAAGCACTGGATTCCTACCCCCAGCTCTGCCACTTACCAACCATGTTGCCTTGGGCTGGCTACTTAGTATTTCTGAGCCTCAGTTTCCTTATCAATAAAATGGACACAAAACTATGTATTTTCTATTACAGAGAGGTATGTGGATCAAATAGATACTGTCAGGGGAGCATCATTTGGTAACTGTAAACCACTCTACATTTTGAATGCCTCCAAACTATAGAAGTCCAATGTGCTATCCATTGTGCCATGGAGACACCTGACATTTTAAGTTAATAATACTCCTAATTACCCAAGCCCTAGGATTTTATTACTCTTTTTTGCCTCTGCCTGAGGAAAGATGAGACTTTTTTCCCAGAGCATAAAAGTATAACTTTATGTCTGCCAAGTTCCTCAAATATAGCCAGTTCTGTGATGATCTACCAAGGGTAGAATAAAAAAATGGACTCAATATAATCTTCAGTAAGGACAAAGACATAAAATTGAGGCAGCTCCAAGGCTTCCTGAGGTGCTATGGGAGAAAGTGTAATGGAATTATCTGTGTTAACGTCCTTTTCTCTCCCAGTCTTAGAAATCCCAGCTGGAAAGGGGAGAGGTAGTATATTTTTATTAAAGCCTAAATATTTGCTTTGACTATTAGTTTTTCACCATAGGATTTATCCTTGGCCCTCCATGGCTTTGGTTCCAAAGTTGCATGGTCTATGTAGACAAGGCAAAATGTCCCTTCATCTCCGCATCCTCTCTTCCCAGTCACATGACTGAAAATTCACCTAAGTTTTGTAATACACACTCAAGTGGGAAGCCGGTGAAATTATCTGGACAATGCTAGCAAAAGATCAGGTTCTTTTCCAAGGCCCATACTCTGGTTTGAAATAAACAAATGATTAAGGTCATTTTGGCTTGTATCTTTAGAAAATTGCCTCAGCTTGTAATTTTTCACTACTTCTCCAGAAATGGCCTGGATCTATTAAAGTATCTTTTTACCAAATGGACCAAATATGCCAAAAGCTTAACCACATAAGGCTCACTCCCAGCTCTGGTTGCTTTTCCCTTTCTCCCTATTTCTTTTCTCCCGTCTCTCCCCTAATGGTAAGATATTCCTTTGGTTTTTAGTCTACAGGATCACAAGACCTAAAAAGTACTGCTCTAAGAAATGCTTTGTACCACCCTGATAAATTAGACAAAGAGCTCCATTTACACATTTCTAGGGTAACCTGTTACCAGAACATCCAGGTGCAATTTCCATCTTCTCTCTACTTTGCATCCATATTTTGGACTGAACTTGGAATCTACGGTATTGTATTTTCAACTGAAGAAGGTTCTAGAAAGGTTCTTTTGAATGTGGTGCATCTTTCTTTGGGGATAAGGATTGCATTCTCCAACTTAACAGCCTCCACTCCCTAAATGGCAGTCATGAGTGTTCTTGCAACAGATCATGGCCACACGAAGATGGTAGATTTCCTGGGGAGTATCAGGAAAAGAGAACATTGGTATTTCTAAAAGTATAGACAGCCCGACAGCCAATTTTGGAGTCTGGGTGACATTTTAAATTGGTAATGCTCCTAATTACCCAAGCCCTAGGAAACCATATGGAATACAGCCACAGCCCTAGAATTAATATAAGTAAGCACTGTGAACCCATTACTAACAGCATGTTCTCTTAGAATAATGGCACAGTATCTGTGTCAGCACAGTGTGATACTGCAGTTAAAACACACACAGACACAAAACCTCTTGATATTTCCTATTTTTTTTGGAAAATTTTTCCTACTCTCAAATTTTTTTTAACTTCTCTAAATTTTCCAACAAAAAAATACTACTTTGTTTCCTTGTCAACCATTGCCTATTGGTATCACTTTGTTAAAATGTCAGTTTTATAGAGGATAAATGTAAGTAAGCAATATATGATAATATGAAAAATGAGCTTGGAAGACAAAAATGTTCAGATTTAACTCTTAGCTTTCCTCCTTATGGCTAGGTGGACTTTGGCTGGTTGTTCAATGTCTCTGATTTTCAGTTTTTTCATCTGTTAAGTGGGCATAAGAATGCTGTCTACTCATATGGTTATTGTGAGGATTTAAAGCCAAGTGAAATGTCTTGCTCAAAGCTAGTGCCAAAAGATGCTGAGAATAAAAGTCACTGATGAGACAGAAATACAGTAACTTGAAGTTTACATAAATCAGGCCAAGATTCAGAAGTATCTGGGGAAAGGGGTCCGATACCTATGGTCCACCCCTTGTGTCTCAGTATGTAGGTTCAAGTCTTGGCCCCTTTGTGCCAGTGAGCAGTGGTTTCCTTGATTTAAGTTCCAGATTACCATGTTTCCCCGAAAATAAAACCTACCCATAAAATATGCCCTAGCAACATTTCTAAGCATTTGCACAAGATAAGCCCTACCCTGAAAATAAGACCTAGTGATGGGTGTGGCTACGCAGCGTATCTACACAACCAACCCATGCATTTTGTCGCTGAGCAGTAAAGAAGACGAGCAGCCCTTCTCATCTGCCCCATTGTGACAGCTACTATCCCACAGGCGACCAGAAGGTGCGGGCAGCCCCATCAACAAGGTCGGCTCCCCCTGTCAGGTCCCGGCCATCCTGTGCGTGCTGCAAGCTGAGGCTGTGAGGGGAAGATAACACATCCCCTAAAAATAAGCCCTAGGGTGTCTTCTTGAGGAAAAACTAAATATAAGACCCTGTCTTATTTTCGGGGAAACATGGTAGAACAGAGGGGGGGGAAGAAAAATTTTGTGATTTCACAGCCTTCATATGTTCCTAACCTTCATAGAAACCTCTCCAATTTTATGGAAGGGGCCTCGTAAAAAAGCATATACATCACTTTTGGATTTTTCAAGACTTCATCTTCAGTTATTTCTAAACATGTGTATATCATTCCAAAAATTATTTGAGACAGTTTTCATTTTGTGCATGCTAACAGATTTGGTGAGGTGAGCTCATTTGTGACACTCTGCTTTTCTTGGCCCTAAGCATCCTAAAAGCAATCCATGTTACAAAGAAACGATCATAATAATAGCAATGATTTAAAGAATGCCAATTATATGTCAAGTGTTTTGCATACGTTTCATATTGTTGAACCCTACAGCCAACTTTAATGGTGGTTATTATTAACCCCATTTAATGTGTGAGCAAAACAAGTCTCACAGAGATTCATAACTTTGCCAAGGTAAGACCACTGGTAAATACCAAAGCCAGGACTTTAATTAAGTCTGACCTCGATGCCCAAAGCTGGCCTTGTGCCAGCAGACACAAACCTGGCTGTGTTTTCACCCCTTTTTTGTTTTTCTTTCCTTCTAGGTTGTGCTAGATGTTGGTTGCGGATCAGGAATTCTGTCATTTTTTGCTGTACAGGCTGGAGCTAGGAAAGTTTATGTGGTTGAAGCCAGTTCCATAGCACAATATACTGAGGTAAGTAGTTGTATTTTTAAGGCAGTGTACTTCAGGGTACTCAGTGATGGATTCTTCCACGTAGGTCATTTAGAATAATTTTTTTAACAGTCTCTGATTTTTTTTTTCTATTGAAATGTTACTACTGATAAAGCCTGACTTCCCTGTAGTAACTGATATGAAACAATTCTTTTTTAATGTCGCTGATAATGAAAATATTGCAATGCCTTCTCCCTTCCCATCCACTGGGAGGCGGTGAGGCAGTGGAGGGGTGGGCTGGGAAAGAGATGAATGTTTTCTTATCTTTAATGATCCAAGTGAAGAGTAAGATTTCACTGTAGCTGGATTAATTTTTTTCTTTTTAAGTGTTGTACTGACAATAGCCGCACCATTCACTTTGTATTTTGCTTGTGGTTTACAGAACTATTGCTACATGGTTGCAGTCAGAGGAAGAGACAGGTGTCTGTTTTTCAAGGAGCTTTGGAAGATTTCAGGTTCCGATAGGAGGACAGGGAGATGATTTGTTTTAAATATAGTGTTCTCTTATCATTATGAAATGTGTACAAATATTAGAAAATAAGTCAAAGTCAAAAGTCAGGTGGTAATGGATTTCAGTAATATTTGGATATAATAATAACTCGATCAAGCTGCAGAGATTGGATGTGTGTGCACGCGCGTGAAAGGGGTAATGTGCTTGTCATTCACACCTGGAGTAGGCCTGAATTTTAATGAGGAATAGGATGACAGATAGAGAGGAGAGCTTGGCTGCTGCTGCAGATGAACACCAGGAAGTTTTCCTCCAACCCTGGGCAGCTGGTAGTTCTGAATGATCGCTGGTTTTGGAGTGAGTGAGCAAAGAGAAACCAAGAGACAAGGAGACAAGTGTGGCATGTTTGGAGGGAAGAACTGTCAAGAGCCTAATGGCTGGTAGGTTGTTATATTCTCTTTTCTTCTTCCAGCAAGTTCTAAAAATAATATTTCAGTCATTTACTTATTCACCAATTCTTAACGGTTGTTTTTATTAAATATTGGCTGCATGCAAAAGAATATGTAAAATGTATACAGTGTGAAGAATAGCAATGAAATGAATGTGTGCCCACTGCCCTTTTTAGGCCGTAGGCCTTTCCTTTAAAGGCCCATTTACCTTGTTCTGACCACATCTCCTTTCTGCCCTGAACAGAGGTAACTACTACTATGAATTTTTGTTTATCATTCTCTTGTTTGTTACAGTGTTACCACATATGTTTCTATCCCTAAAAGCAAAATCACTTACCAACTTTCCATGAATGGACTCATAATGTATATATTCTCCCTTCATTTTCTTTTTTTCACCGGATGTTGTGTTCCTAAAGGTCATCCTTGTTGGATGTATACAGCTGTTGTTTATACACGCAGCACTGTTGGCAGACTTTGTGTGGCTTCCATTATAAAAGTATTATGAATATTTTTGCACACAGTCCCCACTGCATCTGTGCTAAAGTTTCTCAGGCATATACCTAGGAGTGGAATTGTTGAGTCGCAGGACATGCGTCCCTTCAGTGTTGCTATCCCATACCAAATTGTTTTCCAAAGTGGTTGTACCAGTTTTCACTCCCTCCAGCGGTGTGTGAGAATGTCATAGTTCTGTGTCTTCGGCAGCACTTTGATATTGTCAGATGTTGAAGATTTTGCCAATCTAATGTATGTGATACGATATTTGTGGTTTTAATTTGTATTTTTTATTTACTAAGACTTTGAGCATCTTTGCAAGTATTTTGGCCGTTTGGGCTTTCTCCTCTGTAAAATGCATTCAAGTCTTTTGACAAGTTTTCTTTTGAATTGTTTGTCTAATTCTAATTTATTTGTAGGAATGACTTCCATATTCTAGATATTAAGCCTGTATTAGTTGTGTATGTGGAAAACATCTTCTCCCAGTTTGCACCTTACATTTTTGTCTTTCCCAATGTCCCTAGTAAAATTTAGATATGGAATTATACAATAAAATAGAGAAAAGGGGGATAAAACTTATATAGAGAGAATCCCATAGATAAAAATACCTCTGCTTAGATATTAGTAAGTTTTAAAATACATTCTTAAAGATGAGGAGTTTAGAATTTTGTCTTAAGTGCTGCTCATTCATTTATTCATATCTTCACTCAATTGTAACCTATAATTCTGTTTTGGGGCAAATAAGAGAAACGGGTCTATTCCTGTATTCAAAGAGCTTCTATGCCAATAAGATATTGGCCCTATTGTATCTTATACCACAGACTAAAAAAATAAAATTAAAATAGCAGTGGAATAAATAATTTAGAAAGTTTCTTCTCTTCATAAAGTTTATTTTTTTCATGTACTTTAAAGTGGTTTCATACATTATTTTTAAAACTTTAAAAATCTAATATCCTTTGATGTATTTTTTTATTTTTTAAATATTGTTATTATCTTTATTTTCCAAACCCTAAGTCTCTGATTTTTAACATAACATCAGTTTTTTGTTAAAACCAAATGTACATAAAATGTTAAATTTGAGGATGGATCTTTTTGTATGTTTTGTTTTTATTTGAAATATATAAAAATTCACTTATCCATAACTTATTATTGAGCTATTATTCTTAAATATCTGAAAATGACTATTTCAGAAGCATCTTGAAATTTAAAATTGATAAATGATTACCTTATTGTATACAATGCATCTTTCTGTTAAACTAACTCTTTTTTTATTTTATGTGTATAATTTTAAGGGGTACAGTTTTGTTATATGGATATATTACCCAGCAGTGAAGTCTGGGTTTTTGTGTAATCATCATCCAAATAATGGATATCATATCCATTAAGTAGTTTCTAGTCCCTCTCCTCCTCCTAACCTCCTGCCCTTCCAAGTCCCTGATGTCTATTTTTCTACACTTTAATGTGTACACATTATTTAAGTTATACTTACAAGTGAGAACTTACAATATTTGACTTTCTGTTTCTGAACTGTTTCATTTAAGATAATGGCCTCCACTTCCATCCAAGTTGTTGCAAATACATGATTTCATTCTTTTCTATAGCTGAATAGTATTCCGTTGTATACACATACTGCATTTTCTTTATCCATTCATCTGTTAATGAACACTTAGGTTAATTCAAAATCTCTGCTATTGTGAATAGTGCTGCAATAAGCATACAAGTACAGGTATCTTTTTAATATAATGATTTCTTTTCTTTGGGGTATATATCTAGTAGAGGGATTGCTGGGTCACATGGTAGTTTTATTTTTAGTCTTTAAGCAATCTCCATACTGTTTTCCATGGAGATAGTACTAATTTACCTCCCACCAACAGTGTATAAGTTTTCTCTGTATGCTCACCAACATATGTTTCACTTTTTAATAATAGCCATTCTAACTGGTGTAAGATGATAACTCATTGTGATTTTAATTCACATTTCTCTGATGCTTAGTGATGTTGAGCATTTTTTATATGCTTGGTTGTCATCTGTGTATCTTCTTTTGAAAAATATCTATTCATGTCCTTTGCACACTTTTTAAAGTAGTTATTTGGTTTTTGTTGTTGTTGTTGAGTTGTTTGAATTCTTTGTAAATTCTGGATATAAGTCTCTTGTTGGATGGATAGTTTGCAAATATTTTCCCCCATTCTGTAAGTTGTTCACTCTATTGATTATTTCTTTTGATGTGTAGAAGCTTTTAAGTTTAATTAGGTCTCATTTGTCTATTTTTGTTTTAATTGCTTATGCTTTTGAGGCTTTATTCATGAATTCTTTGCCTAGACCAATGCCTAAAAGAGTTTTCCTAGGTTTTCTTCTAGTATTTTTATAGTTTCAGGTCTTACATGTAAGTCATTAATCCATTTTGAGTTGATTTTTGTATATGGTGAGATATAGGAGTCCTGTTTCATTCCTCTGTACATGGCAATCCAATTTTCCCAGTACCATTTGTTGAAAAGTGTGGCCTTTCCCAAGTGTATGTTTTTTTTAATTTGTCAAAGATCAGTTGGCTGTAGATATGTGCCTTTATTTCTGCGTTCTCTATTCTTTATTCCACTAGATTTAATAAATGAATTCAACAAAGTTTCAGGATACAAAATCATTGTACAAAAATCAGTAGCATTTTTATACATCAATAATAGTCAAGCTGAGAACTAAATCAATAAGGCATTCTCATTTAGGATAGCTACAAAAAATTAAATAAAATACCTAAGAATCTATTTAACCAAGGAGGTGAAGGATCTCTACAAGGAAAAGTACAAAACACTGATGAAAAGTATTGAAAATGACCCAAAGAAGTGGAGAAACATCCTGTGCTCATGAATTGGAAGAATCAATATTTTTAAAGTGACCATATTGTCCAAAGCAATATACAGAGTCAGTACAATCCCTATCAAAGTACCAACATCATTATTTGCAGAATTAGAAAAAACCTAAAATTCATATGGAACAAAAAAAAAGAAAGAAGGAAAGAAAAAAGCCTGAACAGCCCAAGCAAATCTAAGCAAAAAGAACAAAGCTGGAGGCATCACATTACTTTACCTCAGCTTATACTATAAGGCTATATAGTCACCAAAACAGCCTGTTACTGGTATAAAAATAGACACTTAGATCCATAGAATAGCATGGATGTAGTATTTTTAAGGAAAGAGAGGAATAAACTAGCTGGAGATATTCATGCATTCCCTAGCCATAGTTCTTCCAGCCATGGCATGAACTCTCAACAATTGCTAGCAGACCATGGGGAAAGCCATTCTAGAAATGCGTGATTGGCTTCTCCAAGAAAATTCTCCTTGTGGTTAAACACACATCAGCAGGATTGTTGCCATCTCACAGGGTGGGCCTCCCCTCATGGACACTTTTACCTAGAGTGTGGAGCCATATAAGAACCTCTAGCAAGAAGCCAGTACAGAAAAGAAGAAAAGGAAACACACAAAACTTTAAAAGTTTTTATTTGGAAATATTTTCAAACTTACAGACAAGTTGCAAGTGTGCTAGGATTACACCTGTGAATAGTCACTGCACTGTAGCCTGGGCAACATGGGAAGATGCCATCT